AAATAATTTCAATATAATAATAAACTTGGAAAATAGTAATATTGTATTTCTAAAAATCATGCGTACAAAATTATGCTTAAAGACAATTTCGATTATTATAAACATATCAAGGATTATTTTTTTCCAAGTATTGAAACGATAAATAACTATGTATATACCTGAATTTGAAAAAAGTACAAGAGAAAAACAGGTGCCGCTAACGTCTCGGGTTTTTTTTCACCCCATCATTTTGAAAAACCACTTTTTACAACATTTCATAACGTGAACCCTGTGCGCGGTTAGCGGTAGATAATACTAATTCTTCGGCGACCACGGTAAGAAGACCATCGCAGGCCGCCACATTCCTACGCATCACAGCCTTCTCCGTGATTGGCGCGTGCGCACACGTGCATTGAAACCACGCGGTCGTGCACATATTTACACCACATAGTTCGTCAAGAAATCCAAATACAATGCGCCCGATATTTATCATCTGGTCCCAACTGGCGCGAACGGACGCGATTTCCGGTCCGCACTCGTACGAAATCCAAATCCTACGCTTGCCGCCCTATGGAAAACATGAAAGACCCGGTTCCTCGTCCGAATCCGAAACAGAACCACTAACGTATTAACAATTATTGGTACTCGGTCATCACCTCATCCGCGCGTCCCGTCGGCTTCCGCGTTGCGCTTTTTTTGTTTTGTTTCTCCGCGCGGATAAAACCACCCACGTGAAACCGCCATAACGATGCGCGATGGATATATGGTCACACTGAACGGAGAGAATTCCACTCGATCGGCATTCGTCGCCGTCACGGTGGTACCCGTCGAACGTCGTGAACATGTACCCGCCGACGGTGCCCACGATTACTTTTCGCCGTCGGGCTTGGAAAACTGCGAGTACGACGCGCCGACAATCGTCCGGATCCGATAACGATGAATCGCCCGACGAAGACAATACCAATCATTTGATATGGCCGTATGCGCTCGTCTCCCCGTGCGGAATATATCCGTTATGTCATTACAACGCGCAGCGGCGGACGAGGAATGCGTATATTATTCGTCCCGTGGAATGCTCTTCTCTGCCTCCTCTGTACACCGTGTATCGTTTCAATATCATATTCGTACCGATTAATAATGACGAACCGTTCGTTGAACGCATTGGACATTTTTGCATCTCGAAATATCGCGTTACGAATCGTATTTATCATCATCGTAAGGAAATACTCAACGCCAATGGGTAAACGGTTGTACCAATGTTCTAACATGTACGCGCGCGTTACCTCGAGTAAACCGTTGATAATGTATTCCAAGGTTAACGGCACACCACTTGTGTATAATTATAATAATGTTAACAACACTATTTTCGCCGGCCAATCAATGTACCTACGTTATATAAGAAGTCCTTGAGTTCTTTCCAACCCCAAAATGAGAAAATTCTTCTTTACGATCTTCGGTACATCTATGCTTTATTTGCTTTTGATTTGCATCCGAACATCCCATTTCGCATACGATTTATCTATACGCACGAGTACCAAAAACCATTCATCCCTTATGCTCGACTTGTACAAGAAAAATTTAGGTTTTTCATTTCTTTGGCCACTGCTAGAAACTATTCGTATAAATAGCTGGTGATATCAACCGAACCACATTGCTATATGAACCCAAAGTCATTATTATTTAGGTTTTACGGTATTTTAACGAGAGAATTTTTTTTTTCTAACCTTATTTTAATCCTATTTTTCTTATTGATGAATTTCAATAATTAATATATAGTAATAAGCTAACCCAACTAATAATAATTTTATTTATTTATTCAACGTTGTAAAGGAAATACCTTCAGCTTCATTATTATTCGACGATATTTATAAAGATATGTATATATTTTCATATATGAAAACAATTTTTTTGAAAAATCGTATTTCAAATATTAAATATTTATAATTGTATGTCTACTTGACAAAATACTAATTTACTGACCCTCTCCAGTGTCTTTATACACGCATTGATATTAGGTTTAATAATATATTTTAATTTATGCTACGTAGTACGTGAGTGTGTACATGTCGTAGATAAAACGAATACTCTTATCCGTTTTATGCGTCATAATAATCGGATAGGTGATAAAATAAAAGATATTATAACATTTTAATGTATATGTATCACATGTCATATTTCTTTATACTACTGTGTAAATAAAATACTCCAAACAAATAATTGAATACACATGACATTTTCTGTTTTTTTCTTTTTTTATATATCATCCGTTTGACACGATGATATTTAAATCTCTATTTTCTTATTTAAATGCATTATTTTTTTTTTTGGTTAACTGTATTGTCTAAGAAAAAACACTAATCATATATGTTATGTACATGAATAGCTATTAATTGACCCTCCCCCAGTTAAGTACAGTCCTAAAAAAAATATTTAAAAATTGTATCGATACCTCGTACTGATTCATTTAATATTTTAACGATTAACACTTGTAGTTCATTTTTAAAAATCGACGATTAAACTGTTATGGTTGAATATTGATACGCATTCGATGTGAGCTCAGTGGCTGATTAGGGGGCAGGCTAAAAGGCTTATAACCTAGGGCGGCTTTTTTGGGAGGACGGCTTTATTTTTATAGTATTAAGGGTTATTATTGACTTATTAGGTATATTTATATTAATATATTTTTTTTTTATATTTGTCACATAAACACGAATAAAAATAATTTTAAAAAGTTATAATAATACATTAATATGTACATTGTATGATGCGTACCTATAAGCTATAGTAAGAACATTACAATTATTATTACAATTCGAAAATATTTCATTTGTAATAAAATAATTACAGTTAGTTAATAGTTATTATTAATAACTTATTAGTACCTATGTACTTATTGGGAACATCCGACTATGTAAGTATAGGTATTTTTATATTTGGCTATTTATATTTCCGTTATGTAACTGTATAAACATTGTTTATTTGTACTGGTAATCATGGTATCAGAAGTAAAATAATAGACACGAAATATTTTATTTTTAGAAGTTTTCTATTTTAAAGATTTTATATTTTATATATTTTCTTTTTTTTTTTTTTTGATAAAAAAACTGAAAAAAAATTGAAGAGAAGGGTTTAGATCAAATATTGTTGGTTCCTTAGTAGAGTGATAGGGGGGGAGCAAAGTGATTAAGCCTAGGAGCGCCAAAACGCTAAATCCCCCACTGTATGAGCTGGTACTTTCTAATTTTTTTTTAAACACGATAGTGGGTCGAATGTTTATATTAATAACAAACTTTAAATTTGATGGTTAAAAATAGTAAGTTAAAAATTATTTTTGTTTTTTTACGACATATTTATATCTCAATAAAGTATATAATACAATTGTATAATTTGTCATGTATTTAGGCATCTATCTGTTAGTTGTAATAATACAATATAAGTAGTCTAAATTTATAATTTTATAAAGCTTTTAAACTACAATTTTCATTTAGTTAATTTTTTTTTTTTAATTGGCATCGAGAAATTATTTTCTTACCCATCTAAAAAAACAGCAACTAAAAAGATTAATATTATTTATCGTCATATTACATTATATTATAAAACGTTATATGTACGTACTCAGTGATCATATATTACGTTCTAAAATATTTCATAACGATTTTTGTTTTCGATTATAAATAAAAAAGATAAGTGATAAAAAGATACATAGTTACAATGGTATGTTATAATACAATTATAAAGCGATTTGAAACCCGCCGTTAACGTGTAGATACAACTAAAATAAAAAATGAATTATGATTTAGAAGTTCTAAACATTGAACTCTAAAAATAGACGCGTCAAAACGATTCCACCTGGTGATCCCACTTGATGGTGGTTGACATTGCTCGGCCCAATGACTTCCGAGTTGTTACACGCGTGTGTAAATATCGTTTTGAAAACGTTACCATTATAACAAGTTTTCAGTTTCTTCAAATCAATTTATGCACGAAAACTGGAAATTAAAAATAATAGTCATTCCAACGCATCGCGATTAAACGTGTTAGTACACCAATGCAATTATTGTTGTTTATAGTAAGTACGTCGAAAGCACGTCTCACAACGCTTAAGCAACATTTATTTTTCTATAATTTTTAAAACTTCGATTATTTCCTGTTGCATCGAATTTTATGCAATACGGCTAAATTCATGCGAATAGTAGGGGACTATTGTTTGAGAGGAGGCAGAGCGATCAGCCGTGTCGAGCCCTAATCTGAATCTAGTTTTCGGGGCACAAGGGACCACAGCGAGCATACATTCAACGACGATTTGCTCACCCCTCCTTAACGCCGCCCTGTTAGGAGTAAGGTAATTAAGGTACCAGACGAGGGTGTAACATTATTATAACCTTTTATTAATTTTCTTTTTGTATTGCAACAATACTGATGATATACGTGCGATGGGAACCGGTTACTATCTAATTTTAGCAACATCGTATCGGCCTTTCTCCTGGCGATTGGAAAAATAACGAAAACGTTACCGCCACCGCCACCGACCTTGTCCGGGACGACAGTCGCAGCGATGACGAGGGGTGATGGATGGGCGAGACGTCGTAACCTTCAAACGTTCGGCAATAAGGAAGAGTGAGAGAGGAAATGCCGAATGACCGATATCGCTTCTGGTGGTGCGCAATCGAGTGACGTAACAATATCGTTACGGGCGGCGTGAGGAGGGCAACTTTCGGTCGATAGCGCGCGGGGTCTGGTGTCGTGCCGCCGCCGGTGACCTGTTTGGCGCGCGGATGAATGGTCGCGGCGACGCGCGTGCGTGCGATGACGGGATGGGCGGGAGGGGCGTACACACACGCGCACACGATCACACATGCGCGCACGCGAGACACGAAATGTGAAAACTATGCTCCGTGCGCTCTCGACTCGGTGTGGACAGTCGGCTGCCTAACCCTCTCGAGTTGTTGCGTTCCCGTCGTCGTGTTCGCGTGCGTCGTCTGATTTCCGTCTCGTCCCGTCGTTTTTTTTTTTTTTATACTTTTTTTTACACATCGTTTGTTTTTCCCCTCTTGTAAAAAAACAGAAAATCGAATACTTTTTCTCCACCAACACCTCGCACCCGCCGTGTTATCGTATTGCCATCGTTCCGCGTCCTCCGATCGATCACCGGCCCGGGGCGGTTCGAAGTCTACAATCCCCGTGACCAATCCGTGGTTCGTTTCTTGGGATTCTTCTGTGCGCGCCCGTTTTTTTTTTCCATTTTCATAACTTTCGCTTATTCATTTCCGTTCTTGCCGCCGTAAACGTGTGCGTCCACCATGTGTATCGTGCTCCATCCGATCCTGCGTGCCCTTTACGGTTTGTTCACCGGAGTGACTTCGTCCGCCGTCAGAGTCACAGTAAGTAATCGTTGCCGACCCTTCGGGGTGCGAGAAAAACCGATCGTTTTTCTTTCTCTCCCTCTCCCTCTCTCTCTCTCTCTCTCTCTCTCTGTATATACATATATACAAATGTGTCTGTGGAATGTACGCTTGGTAGGTTAATTCACGTGTCGTCCGATTTTCGGGGACGCTCCCGAGAGTTATTCGGACGAGGGCAACAATTTTATGTGTGTGAAACGACCGGGTGTCCGCCGCAGCCGTCGAAGGGAGGGGCGGAGCCACGGAAGATGCTGGGGACACATTTTTACATACGGCGAAAGAACCGGTGTTTTGTGAATGGGGAGACGACGAGTGCGGAGGTATTTATTTTCCGAGTCGTGATAACTCGGCTCCCCTCCATTATCGTCGACCTAACCTAGATTATAGAGGTAAATCGAATTTCTCGATAATGCACCACCCGTCCCATCATTGTTCCATAAAATACATCTCGCTACGAAATTCACGTAACGTAATATTACCCTCTTTTTTTTGTTTTTTTTTTTTTTGCACACGACTCTTCCCTCCCTACCGGGTGTGCTCCCCTAGTGCTCATATGTTCATTTGACGTTTTTGCCTTGTTTATGTGTGCACACACGAGCTGGATTATGATTGTACGATACTATTATTTATATGGTCTGTACTTGCTTTGGACCGTCTGGGATAGTTACGCGTGTTTGCAACACGTAAGACGAACAGACGAAAAAACGTATTCGACCTTCCGCATCGTCTCCCGGCGCCACGCGTGCGTAACACATGATTATAGTGTCATGCCGAGAAATTGTTTACGGTCGTTTGTATGGAGATGTTTCTCGAGAACATCTTCTAGTGCATCTCTTCTCCGCGAGACCGTTAACAATTTCGTAACAACTCAATTATGGAAAAATATAATTTAAGAATTTCGTGAATTACAAACATTGAAATAATATTATTAATTAAAAAAAATAAATGAAAATTTGAATACATTTACATAACGGAAATTCGTTGGTATCTACGAGTATGCTGTACGCTATATAACAATAAATTAACGATACCTAAATATTACCCTGCTGACCGTCATCACCGATTTCTGATTCTGTACAAATAAATACAAGTATTACGTCCGATAATAATTTCCAGTGATATACACGATTGTTATCACATTTATTTTTCTCTTTAGGAAAGATTTTTCGTCATCAATAGCATATCTAACTAGATCGTCCCAAACTTAAAAAGTTATTTTCACTTCATGATGTAACTCATTTTACATTTACACCTGATTATTTAAAAAAATTACTCAACTCAATGCCGTTGGCTTTTTGTTGTTGACACGATTAATATTTAAACACGTACCCATTATAAATCAAAATATTGAACTACCTACTAATGAATTATGATATACTGCAGAACACTTAACTGTACAATATAAAAATGTTCAACCTCGAATCAAAATAAATACTATTCTATTAGATTTTTCATGTATAAACATGAAAAATCTAATAGAATAGTATTAAAATAATATAAATTTTAAACATATTAAATAATAATACATGGAATTAACTTTGTTAGAGATTATTTTATTTAATAATTATTTATTTTTTTATCAATTCCTTTCACTGTGTTACATTTTATATTAATATTTTTATTATTGATATTGTTTAGATCAAAGAGGATTGCAAATCACTACTTCTATCCAATGAACAACTAACTACTCTAATGAAAGATATGGACGATGCCATTAGGAACGGTTTGCGCAAAGATACCAATCCAAGCTCCATTGTCAAGTGCTATGTCACTTATGTACAAGATTTGCCCAATGGCACTGGTAAATTAATTATTGTGCTAATATAATTATTTTCATTGTTAACAATAATTTACAAATTCATTTTCTAGAAAGAGGTAAATTCTTAGCTTTGGACTTGGGTGGCACCAATTTCCGTGTGTTGTTGATCGAATTGGGAGAGAACAACTACTTCCATATGGAATCTGAGATCTTCAAAGTTCCTGCTCACATCCAAACTGGCAAGGGCACTGAAGTAATTCAACATTTTATTTTTAATAGTCATATACACCTATAACTGGTACTAATGTAATTAATGTTTTTTTTTTGTAGTTGTTCGACCATATCGCCAAATGTTTGGCTGAATTTGTTAAAAAACATAACTTGGACAGCAAAAATGCTTTACCATTGGGCTTCACATTTAGTTTCCCACTTAGACAAGTAGGACTTACTAAAGGATATTTAAACAGTTGGACTAAAGGATTTAACTGCTCTGGAGTTGTTGATGAAGATGTTGTCAAGCTTCTCAAGGATGCCATCAAGAGGAGGAAGGTAAATAATGATCACATTTTTTTAATTTCTCTTGTTGTTGTTACAATGTTTTACTTTTCAATCCCATAAAATATATTATTTCTTTCCTTAATATCTATTTTAAAATTATCAGCACATATAAGATCATAGAATGTTGATGTAGGGCCTGAATCTACGTTTAACTGCTGTATTGAATGATGCAACTGGAACCCTAATGAGTTGTGCTCACAAAACACGTTATTCCAAAAACTGTTTTGTAGGTTTGATTATTGGTAAGTTTGGCAAAGCCAAAGTTTCCAAAAATATAATGCCAGCTATTTGCATTGGATTACGTGGTTGGACAAAAAACAAAATAATATTCCTGTTTGATAAATGCTTTTGTATTTTATATATTATGTAATGTGTATGTAAATTGTCCAAACATTCTATACCTACATATTCAGAGCATGAAATATGTTGTATTGTTTTTGTACAAAAATTGTCTGTGACTGTCCAATTTAAATGTGTACTATTATTTTATATTTGGTACAATTTATTATCATAAGATTTTGCTTAAACTGATGATTATCATCTCTTTTAATTTATACTGTATATATATGTTCATGTTTAGTCAACAAACATTTGTACTATATTGAACCTCTGAATATGGTAACTTATGTGCAGTTTAATTATTAAGATTATTTCTTCAGATTATAGCACATTATGTGCCTATGATCTACTTATTCATAAATATTTATGGATTAAAATTAAACGAATCCTTCCTTAACTCTAAATAATATATCATTAAAAAAAATGATCTGCTATTATTCTAAAATTGTAAAATAAATTATTAAAGATATTTCTATCAATAAAATAACATTATATAATAGAAGGTTTGTTTCGGTGATAATTAGGATGTTGAAATTGATGTGTGTGGAATATTGAACGATACAACTGGCACAATCATGTCATGCGCTTGGAAGAACCCAAACACCAGAATTGGACTTATTGTTGGTATGTTGAGTAATTAGACATTTAAGTGAGTTGGCCAAATACTCCCGTAAACTTATGTTTTTATGTGTATTGGTTAGTTACACATTAAAATTAACAAGTTTTATGTAGAGAAATCTTATTCTTTTAACTATTTATTTAGTTTAATATTTTAATACTTTTCTTTTATACAAATTATTTTATGTTTTAATTTTCTTTGTAGTATTTTATTTTACTAATATTAATTTTATTGAATTACACCTAGGTAATTTGATAATTTTTATAAAATTTTAATTAATTTCATATATATATATATATATATTTTTTTTATATTAATTACTATTTACTAAATACTATAAAAATGTATTCATTTATAAATTCCATTTATCTAAGATATCTATATCAATAATTATATTACTGTCCTTCACAATGAAAACAAATGACCTCTCGGCACTCAGTGATAACATCATACATTTTCTGTAATTGGCTATGAGTCAAGTTTAAACAACATTTTTATAGTAGTAAATAAGTTGTTAGTTTCACTATTGTTGGGTGTGTTTATGATGCGCATATTTAATTTGGATGAGATAGGACTTGCTCTATCTTCGAAATTTTGGCACACTAATTATTGAGTCTATAAAGTTTTATATTAGACCAAAATATCAACACTTTTTAATTGTAGTTGAATAATACGTTTTTATGATTTTAAATAAACGAAGATCTAGTTGGTAAATATTGCTTAAAAACGAACAGTTTGCATTTTGTACTTTTTGACACTTATTGTTATTGATGCCGTAGCTATTATTTACATAATAAATAATATGTGATTTGACAGTCATATCGCTTTTGCTTTTATTAACTTGCATACGATTATTGCTTAAGTGCCCTGCGTATTATAAACGATTGAATCTTCATAATACACACATGAATAGTGACAAAGCTTAAAAATATATTTTCTTGTAAGTTAAGAAGATTTCTTGTTATGAATCGCTTTATCAAATATACTATTAAAATATTTTAAATATTCGTCCAGTACAACTAAGAAAATCATTAAAAAGTTTGCAATTTCTAAAGTTCATGTCACCTTGATTAGCAATTCACATTTTTACGATGTTACTATTCTTGTGTGTCTAGAAGCACTTGGTATTATTTACAATAATAGCTGTTTTCGTACGATTAGTTTATATCATGTATTCTATAATTCAAGGAACGGGCTGTAATGCATGTTATGTCGAAAAAATCGAAAATGCCGAACTTTTTGACGGTGACCAATCGAAACCACACGTGATTGTCAACACCGAATGGGGTGCATTCGGAGACGATGGGAAATTAGACGCAATCCGCACGAAATACGATCGGGAAATCGACGAAGATTCATTGAACCCGGGACAACAGAGGTACCCTGTCTGCCTTAAACCTGTGAAGGGATACTCGATATTTTTATTTTTGTACTCGTTTGATATTTATCGGGTATTGTCGGTATGTTTTAGATTTGAGAAAATGATCAGTGGTATGTACATGGGCGAGATCGTGAGGTTGGCCATCGTAGATCTGGCAAACCAAAAAAAACTGTTCGAAGGACGGCTGTCCGAACAAATGAAAACCAAGGGAGCTTTCGGTACGTCATACGTATCGGACATTGAAAGGTAATGTGAATGAATAGTATTGTCGATGCGTACTGCGTTGAAACTTTTAATGGTTAAACATATTTTTGTCGTGTAATGTAATCTAATAAATTATTGAATTTTGCCTTGCAGTGATAAAGCCAATTACAGGGAGACACTGAAGGTCTTAAATGAAATGGGTATCAACGACCCGTCTCTAGTAGACTGCGCCAACGTGCGATACATTTGCGAATGCGTGTCCAGGCGATCCGCACACTTGGTTTCTGCCGGTCTAGCCGTATTACTAAACAAAATGGACGAAAAATCAGTCACCATTGGCGTTGACGGTTCCGTGTACCGTTTCCACCCATACTTCCATAAACTCATGGTAGAAAAGACCAAACAACTCACCAAATCTGACATCAAAGTGAGCGCCTAGAACTATTATTTCATAACTTGACTTATTATGCACATATGCATGACAATATACATGTTTGGCATAACGTTCTTATATGGTAGTGCAAAAAATTAAACGTGCATTGCAAATTGAATATCTTACATTCTATTCTTTTATTGAAACCCCTAAGTCTAAATTATAATAGTTGTGTAGGGAAAAATATTAATTGGATTAATTTTCCCCCTAGTTCGACCTTATGTTGTCTGAAGATGGAAGTGGTCGTGGAGCTGCTCTTGTTGCTGCTGTAGCCGTCAGGGACGAATTACCACTAAAAACGAACGGAGTTGCTGCAAAATAATTCCTGACCGCTAACTAGTGAGTCAATGTTACCACAAATGCTAGAAGTACATACATTGTTTTAGCATAATTTTATTTGAATTTTTTTTTTGTTCTCTAAGAAAAAAGTTTGGTGCTAACGCTAAGCGTCCTTTAGGCGTTATATACACTTAACAATGAGAGTTATTTGTTTTAGAGTGTTGTCATTGTTGTTGAGTGTTGAATCTTGATTGTTCATTGTTAAAAATGTTTTTTAGATTTAGATCATAAATACATTTATATATACATCAAATTGGCACTAAATGTATTCATTATAATTTTTTATACCAATAATTATATATATTATATAAATGTATAAAATCCAAAACGAAAAAAATAAGTTATATCTATATTTTAGTTTTATATGAAGAATCTACAAAATATATGTTATGTAATTGATTTATAAACCTCGGGTGTTATGTATCTATGACAATAATAGTGATAAAGCCCAATGTATGCCTATTATTATTATTATTATTATTATTATAATTATTATTATTATTATTATTTATAAATTTGAACGTGTACATCTAGTTTTGAATTGTTTCATCAATTTTGTTTTACCATTATTATTGCTCTTGAGCTCCGAACTTAATCTTATTGTGTTATTACTATTTTTCTTTCTTTAATATTAATTTCTTATTTATAATACTTAATATTTTGGTATCCACAATTTTAGCTACAGACAGTACCTGAATTCAACTTTTGTTGTTTGTAGGATATCATTTTTTTTTTTTTTTTTGTATACTTAAACAGAAATTTTAAAACATTAATATATTTTTCATCTTGAAAACCAATAAACATCTTTATGTTATTACTTAATAATTAGTTGTACTTAAGGTTGTATTAGTAAATGCTTATTTATTTACAAATTAAGTTTGAATAAAATGTAAAAGCTTCGGTCCATTAGCTATGTACTTAAGAGGTAGGTAAACATATTGTTAAAATAATAACTACAAACTCGTAAATATTTTATTGTGAAAACTTACAAAGAAAACATTTGAAAAATAAAAATAATTAATAACCAAAATGGAACTTTGTTGTGTATTCTTTGAATCGAATGAAAACAGATTTCACAGCTTGCAAAGAGTTAACAAGTTTAAACTAAGCGAATAATATTCCACTGTTACGATTCGTGTTATCACTATGCAGTTGGAAACATATTAAATATGTTAAACACATTGTTGTTACTAATAAACTGTAATAATATTTTGGTACCTATTCAAAGTATTGAGGGCTTGATGAATCGATTACCACGATTTTTATGCTCCCTAGAAGTTGTGTATTGTATCTGATTGTAAAATATCGTGGATAAAATCTCTACAGGAAACGTGATTTACGTTGAACGGGTTTCTGCGTTTTATCACTGCGTGTTTAATGTGATAGGTACTCGTACTATACGTGTAAATCTATCCGCACGAATTCAAATATTTTTGGTGATTTTTTTGACGTGTAGATAAAATGTGTGTGATAATGGAAAAAATACGATCATAAATCGTACAGTGGTTATCCGTGACAAAAATGTTTTCCTCGTTCCACCAAATTCGTCTACGTCACCCCATGAAACGCAGCGTATTTTATCGACAGTTTAAATATTTTAAAACATTCCTGAATGTTTTCCTTTTACATATTCATGTACAGTCATCGCAACACCCAAACTTTGAAACGTAATAATGTAATATGTGTATACGAGTACCTACATAATAAATAGTATTATTTTCTATTGATTTTTCGTTATTTTCATTCTCTCTCGACCATGAATCATGGTCATGTGGTTTTGTTTGCGAGAAATTTTATTTTGTATTATGAGTTTTTCCAATGTTATTTTTCGACAGAATATGTATTAAAAAAAAAATAATAATAATAATAACGCCGTCTATGAATACAATTATTTCTTTTGTCATCATGCCGCAGGCTCGCTTCGCATTCCGTTCATAAGCGATTCTGATACTCGCTAGAGCTCTTATGAAGAAGCTATATCTACGTAAAATTTCTTCTTTTGACTTTTTCCCCTCTTATCAGGCTTACGGTTACGGAAACACTCGATAGACTTTAAATAATATGAAAATATTATTTTTAATAGGTTTTGTTAGTAAAAAAGAAGAGACTTATAGTACTTTTTATTGTACTTAAATGAATTGGAAAGTAAAAATTTAATGATGTTATTAATGGTAGTAATATTACTTAAATTCGTAAACAAATATAAAAATTAGTAAACAAAATATGTGTTATTATTTTTATTATTCACATTAATAACTAATTATTAATTATACATTCAATTATATTAAAATAGGTATTATTTGAATTCTTTTTAACATGTAATTGGTGTGTGAAATAACATGTACTTGAACATGAGTTCCATATTCAATTACTTATAAGTTCATACACATGTTTTAGGACTTACGATCGTATATATTAGATAAATAAATAAGTGTATTTTGATTTATTTTTCCAATTATAGAAGAGACTAATAACATTTTTTCATTTTACTTTAATGGGTTGGAAAGTAAAGATTCACCGTGGTGATAAATCATAATGTTATCATAAATTCATGGAAAAATTAGAAAATAAATTATGTACTACATTTTTATAATTTTGTTATTAATATTGTCCAACTATACATAAAACGTGTTTTTAAATAACATAAAAATATTTAGATTATTTTCAATAGATAACCTTTTATCCAAATGTACTCAATGTAAACAAAAATTTGAAGTTTTGACTTTTTTTAGGATATTTTATATACATGTACAAATATAATTTTATTAACTTACACACAATTAAAATCAATTTCATTCAGTGGTTGATGTAGCTTAAAATTAAATGGAAGAATACTAACATTTTATATTTCTGATTTCTAATAGCTAAACTGAGGAATTGATTGTAAAGGTGAGTCAAGTCCCAATACATTTTTTCATAATACAATTTCATGTACAGTAGGTATTTAGTATATAAATTTTTGTTTTCCAATTTGGTGTCTTATTTTTTATTACATTAAAATTCTTATAAACATAGAAATATATTTTCATGTATATATTTTAAACAATTATGTACATTGGTACAATTTATAAATATGTAATACAAGTATGTATTATATCATTACATACTCGTATACAGTAAGAATAAAAAAAAATTGAATAACTATTTCTTTTTTTTTATACGCTACCATAAAAACAAATAAATTTTATATTTACCGTTAATGATATTATTATGTAGAAACACTTGTTATTTTTATATTTAATAGAATATTTAAGTATCCATCTAAAAAAATTTTGTAGTAGATAATAATTTATAAGAATATAAATTATCTATTTACATATTATAACGCCAATATAAATCGGTAATATTTATACATAATTATAAAGGGATGTATTATTATGGATAAAATAAGAGGAGTAATGATAAATTTATAAAATGTAGGGATGCTACCTCATCCCTGTATTCCACTCCGGCCACTGATTACACTACTTCGTTAATTTTCACTAAATAATGGTAGGTGCCTACGTTGATATACATTGTCTAGTCTTCAAATCTCTACAGTATACATTTACAATTCTTTCTCAGTGTAAACCATTTATAATAATATATTTCGAATAATTAACATTTATTTTACTTTTTATTAGATATAAACAAAACAAATTGCGTACAGTATCCTAATGGATAACGAATGTTTTATACGCCGAAGTCATCATCACCCGTTTTCCTCGTAATAGTAATATTATAAATTAGTATTTAATATTTAATATAAACTTAGGTTCCAAAAGTATGATCTCATTTGTGACGAATCTCACCCGAAATTAGTTATTACATAATTTAAAATATAGCACTGCTTTATTTATTTAGTATAAAGCAATTACACATTAATAATCATTAAATAATTATGTAATATAAAAAAAATAAGCATTTGGAGGAATCGATAATATATAAATGTACATTTACCGACTATAACTGAATTACAGTTAAAGGTTTAATCAATTTACCTAAAAACCATACTAATGTTTAATATTTTTTTTCCAACTCGTATCCTCTATAAATCTCATCTTCCTCTAAATTCTATACTTCCGAAATAAGGTTAGGATTCCATAATAACTAAACTCATCACTCAATTCTCGTTATTGTTTATCAACAACACAATGCAACATATTTAACGGTATATTATTTGATAAACAAATACATAATATATACTGTCGAGTTAT